TTTATGCAAATATGTTCTTTGGTGCATCATAATAAACAAGAAGATGATAAAATCAAATCACATCGGTGTAATATTGTTTAAATGAAAGCAGAATAAGTTATGAACATTAATATTGTATCTGTTTTTTTTTAATATATCACCGTTATACATCTAAATAATACTTTCTATTGTTGGTATAATTACTTAGTACGTTATAATTAATTTTACAACATATTTAAAACACATGCATCTCCAAAATTTTGCATGGTTTGCCCTGTTTGTATTACCATTTGGATCATATAATGAGAGAACAACGAAATGAGGACACGCTAAATATTTTCTTACTGAATGACTATAAACAATTTATGTCAAACTCGTAAATTAAAATCATTGCAAAGACAGAAGACAGCACTTTTGTGGAAAAAAGATCTTTCAAATTTGTGTATCAAGGAAAATTATATAAATTTTGAGAAGAAAACATAAAACAAAATAAACCGTACACAATATAAAACATTATAGGAAAACATTGTATTTAGCCTGATTTTTGTCTAAAATGTAATTATCAAAACGGGTGCCACATTTCTTCATATGGCGTAAATATGTTTTAACTTTAGCTATGGTTTAGAGAGTCTCATTTAAGGTAACAGCCATCAATCAGTACATAAGTATTTTGATACAATGGGAAGACAATGTCAAGCATCTGATTTAGGTGTGATTAACTTTTTAACTTTATATATATATTTCGCTTGTTTCTTTTCTTTTTTTCCGCCTCCGACGTACCCTTTTTTTGGAACAAATTAGTAAACCAAAATATAAAGAAAGCCTAAATAAGATTAAAACAGATATACTTAGTTTGCATGACAAACCCCTTGCTAAAATAACTGTTCTCTATTTTTAAACCACGTTTAAAAGATAATATTATATTCAAATATCACTACATTAAATCATAACTTTGCAAGTAAATTGGAAACGATGTAGGTCATCATAAAGAAAAAAGGAGGTTTAATTAATGGTTTTGAATTTAGCCAGCCGACGATTGCTAGACCCGTTATATACAACATTCAAGATAATATTCGAAGTGTTAGTCTTACCGGTAAAATCATTACCTTTTTTTAAAAAACATATGCCTGTCAGACAATTTTACACCAACTAAAAGGAATTATGAGAATGTCATTATTGACAATCAAATACTGAATATAACAATTTATTTCTTATAATGAACGAACATTGAAAAAGTGTGACCACAATATGATTATATTGGGAAAGCAATATTTAATATGTGTAAAGATTGGTGATTTTTTTCCGCTGGGAATAGTTCCAGACGAAATATAGGCATTATATGGCAATAAAATGGCTTTCTCTTATAATCTTGATTTGCAAATATCCCAGTTGTCATATTACTGATAGATTTTCCTCAATATCAGGGGCAACACAAATTTAGATACAGGATAGAATCTGCATATACGTCGAAAAATATGTAAATTTTCTGAACTCATTGGTTATGCATTGCGCAACAAAAGTAACAAAAGACAATAAAGCTGTAATTAGTTAAGAGGGTTCTTGTGCACTGCCCTTTCTGTCAATGTGCTTGACTATTGTATAAAGTTGTATTGAATTCCAACCATAAGTTTTCAAGTTATGCTCCGGACAAGGAAAATGCAACGAACCACTTGATCGACCGACCGACTGACCAACCGACCGACCACCGGATGACTCCTATATATGACTCCTATATACCCCCTAAACTTCGTTTTGGGAATATAATAATTTGCAATTGATATCCATTACTTGTGAAAGTACGATTGGCAAATTGTGTGACAGAAATTTTCTTTGAAATGCATCATTAAACACAATCGTTGAAATTAACAATTGTATAAATGAAATATAAGAATTCTACAAGACTACATTATGTTAGTAAAATCATACAGAAAATTTCTCTTTATGTAGCAAGTAAGTAAAATTATAATATTATATGCCGACGATTTTATAAAGGAACGCAACTTTAATTAAGGAAATACATTCGTGTGCTTAAACTTTCAAGACAACGCTATTATTTAAACGTGCTATTAAACAAAAATTAAAACTTTCAATATTTAAAAAGGGTTCTCCTTTCATACCCGTTCAGACAATGATAGCAACAAAAAAGTACAAAATAAATTTCTCGAAGTTTACGAAAGTTATATCATGCACTGAATTATCTGATTAAACTGACCACTCAAAAAACATACCTTTTTTCCGCCGATATAGTGCAATATTTATGTCAGCAAAACTACTTTAAATGGCCGTAGCTGCACATACAAGTACACTTATATTGATTTTAGTGCCTCTGTCTGTTTGGTGACTGAATTAATGAGAGTTTTCTTTCGACCTTTTCCACTCTAAAGACTAGACAACACTATAATAATGATAAGTTTCTGAAATCAATAATTAACGAAGTACAATGGTCATAATAGTTCTTTGAAGGTCGCATGCACTTATTTTAATGTTATACGAAGGAGTAATTGAGATTTTGGTTTCGCTGTTAAAAGGTATTTATGCATTAGGACCTTAAATTGGTCAGTTTAGACAAGCCGTTGCGAGTTTCTGTAAAACAGAAAGTGTTAAATGTTGTTGTCGTGTGGAATTTGACAACAGCGCATTCGTCAACAAAATTAATACCTTAGTTAGCTTTAACGATGCAGATAAATATGTCACAAAATTACGTTTTCACTGTGTTGCGCATGATTTAATACATAGATATGTGTTTAATTCAAACGTGTGTGAAGGTATTCGTTCGTTTTCTAAAAAATATAATAGAGGCGTTTTCTTCCTTTGGACAGATGGCAGATCGACTGTTATACATGTATCAAATTTACAATCAAATTAGGACACAACTATTGAAATATAGTACCCTTAAACTCTTTTACAAAAAAAAACAGGAATAATCGGAGTTTTGATAATTTTACAGTGGTGAAAAATTATAGCACAAACTGTCACGCCGTTTTTTTACATGTTTTTATCATATCTCGACGGTCAGTCGGACAACCGGCTTTCATGTATAAGTAACCGATTATTGATTCTACATGTTTTTTGAATCAGCAGTGGGAGACAAATTAGACTTATTGTCCGAGATCAATTGTTTCGGGGAAATTTTGCCTTGTCCGAGGATCAAGCCAACCGTCCCTTGATTACAAAGCCGATGCCCTCTATTTTCTATTTTAAGCTTAGCTGGCGAGCAACACATTTTGCCTACCTAAACATATGATATTTATAGAATTTCTATAGAAATATCAGATAAAATAGTTGTTACGCTTCACAAAACCAGTAAAACAGCTACTACAAACCTGACATGCAGAATGGTTAACATTGCACAGTATCTATGTTTATCTATCTTTCTTTTAACTTCTTGATGGATCGTTTTAATATCTTAAGAGGTTCTATGTTACATCATTAGAAGTGGTATACCATCACAGTCAGAATGTTTAAATGACAAAGAGAATGCATTCTCAACTTTTTTTATATATCAAATTATATGAGCCTCCGGAATAATTTATTCCAATTCTGACATGGATTCAGCGAGTGAGCAATTTACTTCTCATCAGTTAAGTCATGCTCAATATCATCGACTTTTATAGCTTTATCATAATATAAAAATATCTAAGAAGAGCTCTTATTATCTCTTGTTTCTAATTAAATATCTTTTATGCGATGACATCAGTTCTTAAATTCTTTATTTCATATCATTTTTGCTGATCTTATTGTCTTTTGTGAAGTCACTTGTATGACATATCTTCCAACGACACTGTTAAGATATGATTTCAAATTGCAAATAAAAACGACCAAAGTCCATAAAGACTGTAAATTTTCTTTCAACTAATATGAGAAACCTCTTAAAATTGAATTGCTAGATGCAATAGACTAGATTTAATTTCTTGTCACTTAACGCGTTTATCTGCAATTTAAAATTTACTTGAATTGATATGTGTATATTTGTATATTAAGTGGTGTTAGTTGGCAATTTCGAATTGTTCTATGTTTTAGAAAGTGATAATGAAACTTTCTTTACGAATTTAATATTACATTATATATGTGACTTTTCCTGGTAAGATTGCCATTTATCGACATTTCCGTTGTGGAACTCGCGACCAAAACAAGCTTAAATGAATAAACACTGTCTCTAAAAATATCGGTTTAATGTGCTAGAATAATAATTTGCAAATAACAAGGAAGGCATTGTTTTTATGGTGGTACTGGATGTAAATGTCATTCTTAGAGGAAGTAACAACTGGGATTTAGGTATTAATGCATAAGAAACGTAACAAGTCACGAATAGGGAAGGGTTAATATTTTTACATACCGTTACTGAATTAAATATCTCTTTGTTAATTTTATTGTCATTTTTTATTTTATAGAAGCCAACCATAATGGACATATTTGTATATGCATAATTAAAAGTACATCGCCATTTACATTAAATCACTGAACAATTGAATCCTGTGTCAATAATCAGATGACCTTCGGATAACCCAGTTTTTTTGGGGGAAGAAGATATACATTTATATATCTACCTTTGTCGGTCCGATCGGCTAAGCTGTACTGTTGTCAAACTGTCCGCCACTAAATTGACAAAACAATGAAAACTAGGGCATCCGTGTCTTATGGACACATTTTTAGGTTTCAATATATTTCATATTAACGTTATCCAAAAGGAGATAAAACGACAATTATTTCATAGCAAGAGAAAGGGGTTTCATGTGTATAGACAAGTAAGGGAAGATATGTGAACGTAACGTTTATTTAATGGAGTGAAAAACAACAGAAAATAAAGTAAACGAAACATAATTGGTCCTCGAATTATTTTTCAGTGAATCTATGCTTAGCATAAATATTAAATAGGTCGGGTATAACAATGTGATATACCCGTAAATGGGAATTACCAAATGTTTTGATTTAAAAGTGTCTTCGAGTCTGCAACATTTTAAATTTTGCCGTTTTGGACTTTTTTAGAGATTCTATTTTTCTCTATTAAATATAAACTTAAATCAGGTTACATCACTTTAATTTGTTTTCATCTCAGACATGACTGATAATACAGATATTGAAGTCATTGTAGGTTATTCAAATATTTAAGTTATTGATCTGTTAAGGTTTGGAATGTTTTTGAATAAATAACCATTCTACCAAAATTCTAAATGTACGATTTCTAAATAAATGAATAAATAAAAGTAAAACGATAATATTCTTAAAAGTACACAACACAACACTGTAATCGTTTAAAAGCGGAACTGTTGTGCATTTTAAAATTATAAAGCGTGGAACAAACGAACAAAATATTCATATATGAATCATTTGGTTTGCATGTACCAAATATCCTCTCATAAATATTGCCTTCTAATTTTTTTAAAATACCTTACCGATATCAATTCTAGTATTTTAACATTTTTTCTCGACTACGAAACTTTGTAATGTAAAACGAACAAACAAACACAACCATGAATTAGAATGCATCACACAATTTAAAAAAGAATTATGTTATAACTAAATCAAATGAAACGTCATTTCCGGGGTAACTACAAAGGCTGTCAAATGCCGGGAACAAGTCTATTTTGATTTCATCCACATTGTCATAGTACATAGATTGTAGAAGAACATGGAGATTTTCGATGGAAACGATTGCTGGTATTTGACCATATTGGTTATACGAATAGATCCCAAACGACGAGACGTCTGCTCCATGTGCGCAACACGCTGCCATCCATACTATTTCCGGAACGACAACGTCGTTTCCGATAACTTCAATGTGATTTAATGGCGCCACTGTTCCCGACAATAAATAAAGCTCAGGTAGATCATGACCGTCTCGTCGGTGTTGCTCAGCATTTTGATATGGTAATTCAATAGGTATTCTACATGTTTCAACAGCAAACTTCCGAACCATTTGAATTGTTCTTTTCCATACAGAATAGACTGTTGGCTCTAAAGGTACGACGTTTGTCATGGTAAAAGTTGCAACTCTCTGACCTAGATCCCAACCAATCAGCTCTGGAGGAAGCAATGGCATCATTTTGTATCCACTATAGTCAAAGTCAGACGGCAGAGCTTGTTTTTTCCCAAACTGACAGGAAGGTATTTCACATTCTGACGTCAGTTCCTTTATATTTGTCATGCCTTTCTTTTTGTTTCGGAAGAACCAAGATACTACGGAGGAGCTTGTATCTTCAATCAGACCTAACAATACATAAATTTGAAAAAAAAATGTTATTATCGTCTAACATGTGCATTCATATGCAAGTGGACAAAAGCAATGGAAGGTAACTGTGTTTCTCGATAAGACAATAAAAAAACTTCTATTGGAGATTTCGTGCATTTTTATGCTTTGCATTTTTCTTCAACAAATAATGAATTTACAAGAGATATGTTTTCTTTTACATTTACCACAAGAATTTAAATATATTGTTTAAGAATATTTTGTGACTTTGTGTCTGAGATAAATTTTTAGATATATTGTTCTAATCGTTTGAATTCAATTGTATTCTTTTTAAATATACACCCAAAGTCTAAAGTCGGGAAAGCCCACTCCTTTTACATCCCGGTACCAATAAAGTGTTATGCATGTTTTCTAGGTGTACGAATCGAGGTATCTCTTAGCATTGTATTGAGACATCGTTCTTTTTTGTATGTGAAGATTTATACTGTTAATATTCTGACACATGCTTTTAAAATCTAGAAATTCTAAATTCCTTTGATGCATACATTTTAACAAAATGTTCTCGTACCTTTTATCACTTATGCTTTTTTTCTCTACAGATTAAAATTTTTAACATAAAATTGATATAGATCATAGTAAAGCAATTAATGTCATACCTCTTTCTATCATAAAAGGAACATTTGGCCACTTTTCGTCTCCAAGCGACCTCACAGTTACCATAGAAAGTAATGGTAAGCGTCGTTTAGTGTCGTACATAGATGCAAAGTGTACTTTCTTATGCCCAAATACTTCTCCATATTTGCTCTCTTTGTCATAGTGCTGACAAATAACTTGTTGGCTTTTAAACACAGGGATCCCAGTTGGCATAACACCACCTGATTTAAAAATAAACAGTATCGTTTAGATTATCTAGTTATGAAATGTAAACGTATCGATTGCTTTCGCTGTTCTTGTGTTAATATGAGATTAGGATTTCAAAATAACTAACTTGTTCCCTATTTTCAAAACAAGCGTTTAACATAACAGCTAAATAAGTAAAACCCCTGTCACACTAGGGCGGCAATCTCATGCGTCCAAGGAAAATTGATAACACCGAGGTTAGCCCAGTAAGATCATCTCCGCAACATCGCTACAGCATCGTAGTGGCATTGCATAGAACGCTGACCGACGGCGCGCATTTTGAGCATGCTCAAAACAAACGCCGTCACTCGGCGTTCTGATAAGAGCGCAGTAGAATCGCAGTAAGGACGCCGATGAGAGCGTCATGAGAGCGCAAAAGGAACGCCGAATGAACGCAGTGGTTAACCATGGCGCTTGTACGGAGATAGTTCGGCATCCCTACCGCGCAAATACTGCGTGTGCACGGCGCTTTTACAGAGCTTTACGATTTCAGCGCAGAGAGAGCGCCGCGAGAGCGCTGTAAAATGCCATAAAAGCGCAGTGTTGACGCAAAGAACGCAGTAGAAGCGCATTCCAAACGCAGACAATCGCCAATTAAAACGCTGTCGAAGATCCGAAGCATCGGCTTATCGCCGCGAGGACGCCGTGAAATCTCCATGTCATCAAAAATATCACATTTTTTACTGCGATCTCGCGGAGCTTTTTTAAATTTAAACACGCCTGCAAACGCAGTGAAAGTGTAGTCTAGTGTGACAGGGCCTTTATGACAGTGTATATACGGCGTTTAAACATTCCATCTAATCACCTTTAAAAATAATAAAAATAACAATAAAACAGAAGATTTATGAATAGTTTTGACTATTGTGATCTGATCTTGTGAAATGTGAAGAACTAATTGCTCAAGAAACAATATCGTATCCTCCATTAACCCAGTAAAACTCATAGCCAGACCAAATTACTGGAAATAGAACGCACCTAATACGAAATCCTTCCAGCATGTTTGTTTTGAAGAATGTTTACTCTTCCCCTCCTCTGTAAGTTTTTCGTACTTGCATTTTTCAGTCATTTTACAAAATGAGTTTAGATTGTCAAGACATCTCTGTTTCGGTGTGTGGAATGGAATGAATTTGTCATCTGACAAACACCACAACTTCCGGTCCGCGTGCTGCAGTTCTTCTGTTGTTAGAGGATTTCCAATGGCCATTCTGTATTTAATATCATACAATGTATACTGACAGTCCTCTGAATAAAAGAAAATAAAATATTTCAATAACACAATGTAACAAAGCAGAAATAACAAGGTGACAACGCAGAAATAACGATAACAAACATTTTTACAAGATGATTTGTATGTACAATCGAGCTTTGTATTTGATACACACAATATTTCATGATTATTTAATTAAAAAAAAATATTCTGGAATTCTTCATCTCTGCGTTTTTCTTTTCCGTTTTGTTTTTTGAAATAGTAAGAATCAATACTAAAAGCAAGATTTCTATAATTCCACATTTTTAACCACCAACCGTAATGGATTCTGGGATCGGTTTTGTCAGATTTAATGGCAAATATTTAATCAATTAAACCACATGAGACGCCGTTCTCCAAGACCTTCCTTAATTGTTTTTATTCTTTAATCATTTAATGCTTTTTATGTCAAATTTCCTGTATCCTTTTGATTTCTGAATCATTCTTACAAGGATGTTAATATTCGTGTTTAATAACATTAACCTGTCAAAAAATAAATCATCCAAGAATTGCTTTTTTTTTTGTTTGGAATCTTATTTTCTCTGCAGGTTAGTTTTAAGTTTTTATTTAATTTATTTAAAACGCCTTTAAATGAAAGCTCTTCTAAACGAATTTAGCAAACCAACGGTATTTTTTGACTGATATTAACCGATTTTAACCGCAAGTCAATTACTACACATGCTGACCAACATTAATTATATTCCTGTAAAGTTTCATGACTTCATGTCAATCACTTTTTGCACTATGTACGTCACAAGTTGAAATTTGCAAACTTATACTTAGTCAAGTGCAATTACAAATAACTAAAACATTGTAAATCCATATGCAAACCTCCTGGTGCACAACTTCACATGCTGACCAACATTTTTGTAAAATATCAGGTCAATTACTTTTTAAGTGAAACTTGAAAGGTAAAACTAAATGCTTCCAAGGGGACATAAAAGTATCAAACTATTACAAATGCTAAGAATTATATGAAATCTTGTTTGTTTAACAATATAGTTCAAATTATATTTCACTAAGGTTCACCATCTATTACATTTTCCCTAGTGCCTAAGTCAGTCGTGAAAATAATAAAATCTAGTGTTCTAGCGTATGTCGGTGAAACATAATAAGTAAAAGAAAGAGCATCGAAACACGAGACATCTGATTTGTACGAGCGAGTAGTAATCAGATTGCCGAGTGTTTTGATGTTCTTTCTCTTTTGTATCATAGTCGAACATAAAAAAAAACGTTCCCTGTTGTCACAATATGAAACCCAAGGAAAAAGTAACCAATGAACGAGCATCTGAATATGATATTTCTGTCGCTTTCCCTTTCTCTTCCGTCACAATATGTAAACCCCAGCAAAAATGAGCCAATTAATGGGCATGCTCTGGAGAGCGGGTAACTAATACCTGCACTCCAGTTAACGCACTGTGCCTGTATACAATTAAACTCACACACATTTTCAACAGAAAGGTCACCAAACTATGATACAAATATTCTCTAGTGAAAACATAGATACTCTCTCACCTTGCTGGTCGTACGGATCTCGTAGGATCTCTGAAATATAAACAATAACAACACTTTAATATCTTGAGGGTTTTTATTAGAAGTTTTTTTTTAGAAGTTTAATGCGATTCTGCATGTATGCACTAGATCATATCAGGTCTTTACTTCAAAATCAACAAAAGGGTCGTAATATAATTATGTAATTATACTTTTGAAAACCAATGAAAATTCTTTAAACTTGAACAAAATAATTTATTTATCGTTGAACTAAGTAATATAGGATTAAAAGTTCTAATTTATTTGCTTTTTCTTCTAGTGGTATAGACAAAGCCATGAAATATATTTCCAATCGTGGAATTTGTAATGTCTGTTTATTTTCATATTAAGACAATCCCTAAGAATACATGATTTATCCTCTGCAAAATAAAAAAGAAAGAAAAATTGCTACCGTTAATAATCAAAAAGTACTTTTTGAATTCATTAATGAGCTCAATTTTACCAGAATTGTCAATATCATCCAGGTCAAGGCCGTGACATCTCACATGATATTGTTCTGTGACACTTCCGTCAGTCATACGACAAACGTCTGCTTCTTTCTCAGCACACTGACGTCTTTCAAAATAATCTCCTTGACAACGGTGAGCGTTCACCTTCACCTTATTTTCGTCATGGCAACGGCGGAACCGGATATCGTGATCGCCTGATTGTACCCATGGTGACCACGGTGCCCATGTGACATCTGTTTTAAATATTTATATGTGACTTTTGAATTTGACATAAAATCAACATTTGTGATACACTAGTACATTGAAGTGTCCATGGAAAGACATTTGATATAAAACGAGAAGAAATATTCCGAAAGAGATCTTCTTATAAAAAACAACAAAATTATCAAATCAGCGCAATGAAAGAATGTGTTATGAAAAATTGTCTTTGCCTTTTTATAAGTTTCCGTTAGAATGTAATATATTAACGACTTACTGATATGTTCTTCACAGTATGGTGGTAGAATCGTCTGCCTCTGAACAGTTTTGTTTTCTGAAAGAACAAACAATAAACAAACTTTATACAGTGTTGCTGATATAAATGGATCATAAAACAAACTTTTATAATGCACTTTATCTTATCTTCCGTCGAAATGAGCTGTTATGAATACAATTTCTGCTTGATGACATTTTTATGGCTTGTGTAGGCATAATCTGCAAAATTGCTATTTTCTATTAACACATGATGGTCTGCTAGCGTCATCAAAGAGTCCAAAATATCTATGCAATATAACATCCTCCTTACTAGTCTTGTTTTGTCCTGACTTGAACAAATTATATATTGTATGAAATTCATTTTTTTATTTTTTTACTTCTATTTTCATACTCCTTTTGTTCAATGTCACTTAACGCTTTACTCTTCTAGTAATTTCATGTATTTCAGGTCATTCGAACTGCTTAAACATATGTTCTTCCTTTCTTATCAGCAGATAACCTGGTTAAATTGCTAAAACTTTTACCTGTTTATCGTAAGGAATGCAGGTCATAGTTTTAGAAATTAGAAAGCATCTACGGCCGACAATAACACGTATATGTTCGGCTATCGTTGTCACCAATTGCCGTGTTGAAAAAAGACAAGTTGCTTCTGCTTAAATGTCGACCTTTATTTAGTCATTTTTAAGTGATTTTTACTGGTACACACTAATTCACTTCTTTACTGACAAGTTGTTTCTTGTCATGTGGATGTTTATTAAAGCGTTCTAATAGTATGATAAGTCTCTCCTGGTAATACTTAATATGAATAGGGCAACACTACACTAGAACTGTTTACTTGTCAAGTCTAAGAAACTCTTCGGAGATCATGAACTCACTAAGAACGCCATTTAGAATAAAGAATAAATATCGTGTAATGAAGTGATAGTGACTCTATTCCTTTTGGTTTTCTATTTTATAAAAAATAGTTATTTGTCTATGATTCAGGAATATTTTGTATAGTATTACTCACGTTCCATTACATTAGAGAATTTTAGAATATTAATTCATTCAACGACCGTGAAATCTCATAAAGTTTCCATTTTTGGGAAATAGGTACTTGCGTTGCCGTTATGATCGGTATGCGAGCAGGCATTTTTTCGATAATGGCAATGATAAATTTTTATATGATACAGTATATATTTACTTTCTGATCACTTGTTTCATGGAATTGTAAGAAATGAAATATTTAATTTAAAATCTACGTTTTATTTCGTCTGTTATCGATATCAAAAATGCGGGAACGCTTCTCGTGTCATAAATAGGAAATAGTGAATTGTTTTAAATAAAATATTATTTAAGTGAACAGTTGACTTAACATCTCTTGAATGACCTTTTTTGTATAAAGGTTTCGTCTCCTGATGTATACCTCAACTTCAGTCGGTTAACTTTGACATAAGTACAATCTAATTAATTCAAATACAACGGAAGTTCACGTCATGAAATTATCAGAGCTCCTAAATGCTGTCGCTTTTAAAAGGTGATTTGTATTAAATTAATTAATTTGAAATAAAGATGCAAAGCAAAACAGTTTCTAGAAATTATACCTCCCTATTTTAATAGTATAAAAACTGAAGTGAATATAAGATATATATGACATCATATCACAAAAACGAATTAAATTCTATTAATTCATTTTGATAGCTATAATTCGGGCAATTTATTGGTTAAATGTCCGACAATTATATATATCAAAGCTCTGCTTCAGAAATGTTTCGATGTTAATAATAAACATAGCTATTTTCCGTAATTTGTATCGCTTAATGCAAGACAAAGACGATTTTATTACATGTTATCAGCACATTTCATTTTAATAAAATGTTAATTAACAACCAATCCTGAAACATATGATTAAAAATCCCGCATTGTCAACAATCGGGTAAATTGTACAATTTGATTAACTGTGTGTCATATATCTAGCTTATTAAAATTGACTTATAAAAAAATCTTAACAATATAATGCTTATAAAACGTAATTATCTGTTTTAAATATTCTCAATTTCTACTCATATAAAGAAAAAGTTAAAGTTTTTTTTACAATGGTATCAATTATCAATTGTATCCTGTTACTGGAAGAACCGTTGTAATATTTGTGTTTGTATACAAAATTCCTAATAAACTAAACAAATGCTTTATTATAATTACAAAAACTATCCGTTTTGATTTTTCACTTAACCTGCTTTTGGGTTAACGTATTCATATTAAGCGTAACAGTAATATAAGTAAAAGCTAAACGCTGCTATTAAATCTGACTTCCCAACATCATTACATCTGTTTGAACTTTGGAAAAGGAGGTGCCGTTACAGCGTCAAAATAAAAGCAATAACAAAAACGCAATGTAATCAACAATCAATGTACGTACAATTTAATTGAATCAATCAGCATTTTGTTTTCAACAGTGCAATTTGCCTTTAATAATAGCAACTTTACATTATTGTATTGTCATCGAAATTTTCAATAACTTCATGGATATGATGCCGACGTTGTCTTTGGAAAGGAGGTGCCGTTGCGGCGTGACAAAACACACGAAATCTAATCAATGTAAGTACAATTTAATGAATCGATCTGCTTTAAGTTTTCTTTTTTTTTCAAAAGTTCTCATGTTCTCAAAAGAAATTTCGTTGCCAGAACAGCAATGATTTATAAAGTTACATCAGAAACAAAATTTACCACCCTGACTGACTAGATTTATCAGTTTGAAGATTTTAACTTACGAAGCATTATATAATGTATTTACTAACAGTAAAATCCCTCAATTAAGACCACCTTCGGGACTGGACCAAAGTGATCTAAATTGTGAATATTCTTATGATTGCTTATTCACTTTATGATCATTGTCTATTATAGTCATTTTGTTTGAACAAACAATATGTATCTCAATCTGCAAATGCAATATAAATGTATGTCATGATATTAAATTTGATGGGAAGAAAACATATTTCTGAAGAAATTTGATATCAAATTCCTTTTGGTCGGATTTCAATATTAATTATGGTATGATTTATCAAATAAAAAATTAATCATTTACAAAATAAATGTGCTTAAAGGAACATTAAAACTCTCTAAAATTTTACTTTCTCACCTTATTTTATACAAAAGCCAAATCATAACAGTTTTCGACACCTTGTGAAATCAGTTGTCATACCCAAGATCATTCAAGCAGATAATAGCAACAAAACAATAAATTTAAGATCTAGGTTGGTGTTAACTTAACTGTCAATGGACTCAATAGTTGGGTCAAATAAGGAACAAAATAATGAATTGGGACTGAATCTTGTGGTCTTAAAAGTGGATAAGCGAGGTGGTCTAATTATGTAACCATTGACATAAAGAATAGAAACTTACGGTCTTTCAAAACGTTTTGGTGGTCTTAAATAGGGATTCTACATTATATTGTATTTACTACATTTGTGTTAGTTTTCTCTCAGAGTCTATTATCTTCTTTTAATTTAGAAAAGATTTAAACCAAGGTTTATGCTTTTATCTATATTAAATTCCATTTGCATGTTATTTATCTTTTTTATTTTCATTTCCTTTTGCTTCCCTGTATGATAAAATGCTTAAAAATATATTTCATTAATATTTGTCGTACACTTGTTTTGATAAGCACGCGACCCGAAGCTTAACATTAAATTGCGAAGCTACTATAAGCAAAACTGATGGAAGTAAGAATATACCAATATGGAAGTAAAAATAAATAATTATTCGTAAAATGTAAAGGAATTGTCAATTATCATAATGACGTTCATGCTTTCACATTCTCCCTTTTTATAACTTGTTATTATATATTAAGATAAATCCATCTCCATTAAAAGTTTTGCTTGAATTATTGTAACATATTTTTTGTTTGTTTTAATTTCTGTTTCCATTTAGCTTTAATTTCATAAAACTGCACCAGTAGGTAAATACATCTTCATTATTTTTGAAATAATGAGCATAAAGAAACTCCTTAACGTGAAACCATATAATTCTAAGGTTATGATTAATTTGTAATGGTTTCTAAAATTGCAGGTCTTAAAGCCATACTTTAGAAATATTTTGAATTTAACAAAGAAAATGTCAGATCGTCTTAAGAATAAGTATAGCTTTTATCACAAAATAATTCTAAGAATAAATTTTTATATATTCTTTCATTTTAATTCATATCTCTCGACAGAAGACAAATCCGATAAGTTAACGAATGTATATTTGACTGATGCATTCCCGAGATCTAATAATACTTACTGAAAATGGCACTCACTAGTCACCCAATGGCTATATAACATTTTATCATCGGTTCAAAACACGCCAAGATATGTTCAGATACATGTAAAGTTATGATTTACCCATAATATGCTAGAGCAAAAAGTGATTGGCCTCTGTATCACATTTTCTCATTTAAATTGCAAATATTACATTTTTAGTTGCAGTGTGAATAATTCAATAATGCAATACAGAGTCTTCGTGTTTCAACTTTATATATTGCCTTAAGTTTAAATGGATCTCAAGGGATGTTATTTTCTTTTGTTGCAAGATCTTTCATTCTTTGTAACGTTTAAAGTTTAACAAAAAAGAAAGCGAAACGAAAACAAAGCATAAAATATTAAAACGATGAAAGATTGTCTATCATTACATGTTGATAAAATTGATAAACATCTTTCTTTTCATGGAATCAAATACAAAAATAATATATTATAAGTTTCATTCTACTATAAAACCCAAATATTATAAAACAATGAAGCAAATAAATCACTGCATGTTAATAGAAAAGGTATATTAGCACTTTTTTCCTCACATCAATTGCAAATATTACGCTTGTCGTTGCAATGTGAAACAAGGAAATCTGATCAATGCAAAAACTATTTATTAAATATTCAATTTTATTCAAAGAATCTACTTAAAACGCTTTCCAAAATCGTTCACTTTTAACCTTTTCAATAATGCAATACGGAATCTTCGTTGTTCAACATTACCATCTGCATTCAGTTTTAATTGCTCTCAAGGGCTGTTATTTTCCTTTTATTGCCAGAACATTGACTCTTA